GCATGGATGGAACTGGAGAGCTTTATGCTAAGTGAAATAAGCCAGACAATAAAGGAAAAATACCACATGATGTAACTCATTTCTGGATAATGAAGACCATTATAAACTTATGAACAAAAATAGATACAGAGGCAGAGCTGCCTCGAACAGACTGTCAAACTACAGCAGGAAGGCCGGGGAGGGTGGGAGGGCAGGAGGGGGGTGGGTAAGAGATCAACCAAAGGACTTGTATGCATGCATATAAGCATAACCAATGGACATAAGACACTGGGGGGTAGGGGAGGCCAGGGGATTGTCAAGGGCGGAGGGGATAAAAAAGGAGACATATGTAATACTCTTTGTAATACTTTAAGCAATAAAAAAAAAAAAGCAATCCCATTTACCATCACACCAAAAAAAGTAAGATACCTAGGAATAAACTTAACTAAAGAGGTAAAAGACCTCTACTCAGAAAACTAAAGGACGTTGAAAAAAGAGCTAGAGGAAGACATAAACAGATGGAAGAACATACCATGTTCATGGAATGGTAGAATCAACATCATTAAAATGTCCATACTACCCAAAGCAATCTATAAATTCAACGCACTCCCCATTAAAATACCAACGACATATTTCACAGACCTAGAAGGAACTCTCCAAAAATTCATCTGGAATAAAAAAAGACCCCAAATAGCTGCAGCGATCCTGAGAAAGAGGAACAAAGTAGGTGGGATCTCAATACCAGATATCAAGCTGTATTACAAAGGCACTGTTCTCAAAACAGCCTGGTACTGGCACAAGAACAGACATATAGATCAATGGAATAGAATAGAGAACTCAAAAATCGACCCGAACCAATATGCTCAATTAATATTTGACAAAGGAGGCAAGAACATACAATGGAGTCAAGACAGTCTCTTCAATAAATGGTGCTGGGAAAATTGGACAGATACATGCAAAAAAATGAAACTAGACCACCCACTTACACCATACACAAAAATAAACTCAGAATGGATAAAGGACTTAAATGTAAGATGGGAAACCATAAAAATACTAGAGGAATCCAAAGGCAACAAAATCTCATTCATATGCTGAAGCAATTTCTTCACCGATACAGCTCCTAGGGCATTGGAAACTAAAGAGAAAATAAACAAATGGAACTACATCAAAATAAAAAGCTTCTGCACAGCAAAAGAAATCATCAACAAAACAACGAGAAAACCCACTGCATAGGAGAACATATTTGCGAATGTTATCACCGATAAAGGTTTAATCCCCAACATTTATAGGGAACTCATACAACTTAACAAAAGGAAGATAAACAATCCAATCAAAAAATGGGCAACGGATCTAAATAGACACTTTTTAAAAGAGGACACTCAGAAAGCCAAGAGCATGAAAACATGCTCCAAGTCACTAATCATCCGAGAGATGCAAATCAAAACAACAATGAGGTACCATCTCACACCTGTCAGAATAGCTATCATCAACAAATCAACAAACAACAAGTGCTGGAGAGGATTCGGAGAAAAAGGAACACTCGTGCACTGCTGGTGGGAATGCAGACTGGTGCAGCCACTATGGAAGACAGTGTGGAGTTTCCTCAAAAAGTTAAAAATGGAACTCCCATTTGACCCAGTGATCCCACTGCTAGGAACATATCCCAAGAAACCAGAAAACACCAATCAGAAAGGATATATGCATCCCTATGTTCATAGCAGCACAATTTACCAATGCTAAGATTTGGAAACATCCAGTCCATCAACAGATGAATGGATTAGAAAACTGTGGTACATATACACAATGGAATACTATGCTGCTCCAAAAAGAAGGAATTCTTACCATTTGCAACAGCATGCATGGAACTAGAGAGCATTATGCTAAGTGAAATAAGCCAGTCAGTGAAAGAAAAATACCACATGATCTCACTCATTTATTGATAATAAAGGGCATTATAAACTGATGAACAAAAATAGATACAGAGACAGAGCAACATTAACCAGACTGTCAAACTATAGCAGGAAGGTTGGGGAGGGTTGGGGAGGGAGGGGATAAGAGATCAACCAAAGGACTTGTATGCATGTATGCATATAAGCATAACCAATAGACACAAGACACTGGCGGATAGGGGAGGCTGGGGGAAAGTCAAGGGGGAAAAAAAAGGAGACAAATGTACTATTCTTTGTAATTGAAAGGGCGAGGGCTACGCCCTCCATCTTGCCCCAGGGTAAGGGCTACGCCCTCCATCTTACCTTGGCCTTGTGCTCGGCAAGGCTTCTTCCCAGAAGCCCAAGCCTCTGCTAGCCACACCCAGGACTTCTTTAAACTAACCAATGACAATCAAGAAATCAAGAGAGGTGCGCACCATAGATATGACCACATCCTGTGTAACAAGACCCGACTTGCACCTGGACTTGCACCTGGCCAATCGGCAGGGCCCACAGTCACCTCTCCTCCCCTTACTCCACCCCCCTATAAAACTCCTCTTCCCACCGGGCTAGCTCTCTCTCTCTGCCACTTGCTGCTGTGTCAGTAAGGAGGGTAGGGGAGCCAGACCCAGGTTTGAAATAATAAAGACTCTGCTTTTGCACTGGACTCGGCTGGCTCCCTGTTGGTCTATTGGGGATCTTGAAATCTGGGCATAACAGTAATATTTTAAGCAATAAAAAAATGAAAAAAAAAGAATTTACTACAAAGTCATTTTGAAGAAAATAAATATAAGAAAGGGAAAAAAAAAGAGATCAACCGAAGGACTTGTATGCATTCATATAAACATAACCAATGGACACAAGACACTGGGGGGTAGTGGAGGCCGGGGGAAGGTCAAGGGGGGAAAAAAAGGGAGACATATGTAATACTCTTTGTAATTCTTTAAGCAATAAAACAAAATTTAAAATAAATAAATAAATAAATAAATAAATAAATTAAAAAAAAATAAAGAGAAATTTCAAAGAGAGAGAAAAGAAAAAAAAAAAGACTCGGATCATGGTGGCTCAAAAATTAGAAATGATCCAGAATACTTTTTAACAAGGACCATGTAGACCTGACTGCCTCCCATTTACCTGCCTCTTATTTGAATAACAATTTGACTTTGAATGCCATCTAAGGTTATGGTCTTACCCCATCCCCAGTGGTCCACTCTATTCAGCAAGACAAATGCTGACATTGAGTCATCCTAGGAATAAGCCTTCCTAGCACCGTGGGACTCCAGACTCCATTATAAACCAAAAGGTTGGTCATCAATGCATCATTTAAGTTAATTTATGACCAGAAGGGACAAGTGTGGATGAGGAAAAAAAAAGACACAAGCTAACCTGACAAGCTCAGGGAAGGCCTGCATGGCAGTCTTGCAAACTTAAAGACCTAAAGTAACCACAAAGGATGGTCTGAAATTAAAACTTTAACTAAAAGCAGTTATGGTGGGTAGTCATGTCCTAGGCCAGTGGTTGGCAAACTCATTAGTCAACAAAGCCAAATATTAACAGTACAAAGATTGAAATTTCTTTTGAGAGCCAAATTTTTTAAACTTAAACTATATAGGTAGGTACGTTGTTATTAACTTAATTAGGGTACTCCTAAGGTGGCCTTTGCTAAAAACGTCCTCAATCTGATTGAGGTACGTTCGCTGAGGTCGACCCCTTCCAACTCTCCCATCCACACTCATCTTGTATACTTGTTTCATCTATCTCCTTTGTTCATCCTCTCTATATGTCCACACCATCTCAACATACCTTTCTCAAACCTCGACACTACATCTTCTTTCACTCCACAACGTTCCCTAAAATTAACTTAATAAACTTAAAGTTTTAAGTCAACTTTGCACTGTATGTGTGTGCCAGCACGTGGTATTTCGTGGAAGAGCCACACTCAAGGGGCCAAAGAGCCACATGTGGCTCGCGAGCCGCAGTTTGCCAACCACTGTCCTAGGCCGATATTTTCCCTGACGAGGTCAATTTTTACCTTGACTGAGCCTATTGTTTTTTTGCATCTATGATAATATATCCTTGAAATGTCTGGGTAACTTGTAACTTTCCTTTTTCCAGACCCCTTGGGGCACAACCTAATGTGCCTGGGCACCAGGACAGATACCACAAATTCCTTCACTGTTAGCATGTTAATTGTTGACTGTTGGCTATCCTGCACCCACCTAAGTATGTATCTATCATTTTACTTTTTATCCAATCAGAGGTCTCCCCACTTTGCTTTCTCCCACTTCTCTAATCTATCAGCAATGGATTTCACGTAACCCACCTAGGTCCCCTCCTTTATACATTGATTGCAATGTATAAAAACAAATGAAGAAACCGCCATTCTCTGGAGCATTATCCCAACCTGTTGAGATACTGCTTCCCGGCAATTGTCTACTCAAACTCACAAAAATTCTTTACAGGTTTGGTTCAAATAAACTCACAAAAATTCTTTACAGGTTTAAATGTTTTTACGTTAACAGTTATGACCTCTTTTCCTTTCACCATCTAAATGAGCCCAGTATTGCTTGTCAGTCCAAAATCGCCCAATACTAAGGAATATCCCTGACCATACCTGCTGACTCAGAGGTCTTCTTTCCCAAATCTTCCTAGAAAATCACCTGGACCCTTACTATATACTGCTAGAGTTGACTGGAAAGGCAAATGCCATGCCTTTTCTCTGTGAATCCCTGGTGTTGTGAAGGAATTATCTGACTCTTCCATGTCTTCTCCCTCCATAGAGCAAAACACCCTGGGTCCCTCACAAAACTCTGGGTGTGACAGTGGCATGGGACTGAGGGCCCATTCAATTCCTAGTCAACAAGTAACTGTTAAGTGCAGAATTCACAATGCGACTGGCCCTGCGACAAGGAAAACACCTGCCTTCCACAATTCCTCACCTGCCAGGCCCTCTGATCCCTCTGTGGGCTTACTGCCTCGGTAAGCTCAACAATGAATGAAGCAGGTTCTTGAACCTCTGAATCCAAAAAGTGTTCAAGAACCTTCCTCACCTGATCCTGAGCTGATAACAACACCGTGGCCATTTCTCCTTACCTGCTGCCCCTCTTGGAGAAGGCACCTGAAATAAAATAAAATAAAAGCTGTGACATCTCTCCATCCTGTCAGCACTCCCACCCTCATTAGGCCAGACCAGGTTACAAACTCCACACTGAGCACCCTGCAGAGGGAGCCTGGCATAGCCCAGGCAAACTCAAATGAGAAGGCCCCTCAGCTTGGTCACCAAACCAGGAGTGGGCAGCAAGCATACTTCCAGTCACTGGGCCTGCTACTGTTCAGCCAGTGCTTTATGAATAAAGATGAATCAAATTAAGGGATTAGAACTATCTGAAGTGCATTAACAGAGTAAAGGGCAGTCACACTGAGCTCACAATTAATGAAAAATGATAAATATTCCACATATCTGCACTTTGATATTTTGATCTATAATAATTATGAAAATAAAAAGAGGGCTACATAGACCTGACAAGTCCAGTGACCAAAAGTAACCAAAGAGAATAGTCTGAATATTAACTCCTAACTGGGTAGATCATGGTGAGTAGCATGTCCCAGAACTATGGCTTCCTTCATAAAAGGTTAATCTCATGTTAAGGGAGCCCTGTCTATTGTTCTTGCATATCTAGCAGAACCTGTGTTTGGCATGTCAGTAATTTTTGCTTCCAGACTCTTCAAAAGGACCCACTAGCAGCAGAGTACAACACTGAAACTCCCTGTTGTCACCCTGTTGCCCACATAACATCTCTCTTCCCTGTAACTGTTAAATGTTAACTATCTTGTGCCCACTGTAGTAAAAGCAGTATGTATCACTCCATTTCCTTTTGTTGTTTTTTTAAATGTTTTTATTGATTAGAGAGAGGAGAGGGATAGAGAGAAATATGGATCAGAGAGAAACGTCCTTAGGCTGCCTCCTGCATGCCCCCTCCTGGGGATCCAGCAGGAAACCCGGGCATGTGCCCCGATGGGGAATAGAACCAGTGACCTCTTGGTGCATGGGTCAATGCTCAACCACTGAGCACACTAGCTGGGATGCATCTCTCCATTTCACTTTTTACCCAATCCTTCCTGGAGATTTCCCCACTTTGCTTTCTCCCACCTCCTTAATCTAGTACCTTCCTTACATGTTCTCCTTTGATTCTAAATATATAAAAAGAGCCCTAAGACTGCCATTCTCCAAGGCATTTTCCCCAATCCACTGAGATCTTGCTTCCAGGCTTGTGCTCAAAATCTTGGCTCAAATAAATTCTTAAGGCTTTGAAGTTTCTTTCGATAATTATATTAACTCTTCAAATGTCAATTGAAGAACTAGCTAAGCACAAATTCCTCTTTCCACTCCCTTTGGGAAGCTGTGCTTCCTTTATGAAGAAGAGTTATCATAGCTCCTTAAATGTAAAAGGAACCATTGCTTATCCACCTTCCCTTCCCCACCCCGAAAAATACAAGACAGAAGGAATAGCGTCACTGCCTATAAATGAACGTTTAAAAAGAGAAAAAAAGGAAGTAATTTAACAAGGGGACAAAATTACTTTAAACAAAAATAATAATAATGTAGTTAAATCACTCTAGTCTAGAAAAAAAACGATGCCAACGTTGATAACTCTGGGGGAGTGGCAGAACCAACAAAGGCTCCAAGCGGAAAACCACCACAGGGTTCACGAACCCTGAAACAAGACAGCTTTCTGCAATCCCTCCACTGAGGCCATTTCCCCGGAGCCCGGCTCAGGCTGAGGGCCCGAGGCCGGGCTGCAGCTCCGACTTCCGGCCCCCGCGGGGGACCGCTCCGGGCAACGCCCCCTCCGCGGGCGCCGCGGGGGCTCGGACGCCCCGGGCGGGCGCTCGCGGTCCGGGCCGCGGCAGGAGGGGCACCCCGGGGCCTGTCTCACGGGCAGTCAGTACCCGGCCCACCGCGAAGGACACGCGAAGCAGCGGACCTCACCGCAGGCAAGCGGAACACCTAGTGTAGAAACATCAACAGCCGCCAGGCCGCCGGGCGTAATCGTGCCTGCGCCGCGGAGAGCCGTGGGCCGCCCTCTCCTCTCCTCTCCCCCGCAGCGCAGTGCTTTCCCTTTGGAACTCTGCCTCCCTGACGTCGCCGCGGCAGGTACCGCTACAGTGGCCGAGAAGGGCCAGTAGCGAGAGGTTGAGAACGCTCCTTGCTAGGAGCCAAAGAAGGTTGAACCTCCTTTGAACATCAGCTCTAATCCCTTATCATCCTCTCGTGCACTCTTTTTATTCGTAATTATAATGGCAATGATAATAAGAGGGAAAAGTGATAATGTATTTTAAAGTGTGGAAAATTAGGTGCTCCCTGATGGCTTATTCTTGGTTGGTAAGAGAAGTGTTACAATCTGTTACAAATTTTTGTCTAAATTATGTCCAAGTTTTGTAACCTATTAAAGATATATTATATCGGACATTCACATGTTTAGGTAAAAACAAAAACCCAGTAATTCCTTTTCATGACACTCATTCTTTTAAAATGGTTCATTGTAATCATAAAGCTTGTCTTCCATCATTAATTATAGTTCCCTTCTTCAAATTGTATCCGCTGTGACTGGCACCGTACGTACTGAATAATATGTTCTCAATACTGTTGAATAAAGGGCACTTGAAGGTAGAAAATAAAGAGATTAACTAAATAGGTCAGAAAAATAATTTGAAAAAGAAATCTGGGATCACAATGTTGCAGTAAGACATCATTTCAGAGTAAAAATAATTAAATTGGACACGAGGTGTTTTGTATTGATAAAAGCTACACATTACTAACCATTAGAGAAATGCAAATCAAAATCACAATAGGATATCAGTTCACACCTATTAGTGTGGTTGCTGTGAAAACAAATCAATGCAATACAGAAAACAAGTGTTGGTGAAGACCTGCAGAAATTGAAATCCTTGTGCCTTGCTGGTGGGAATATAAAATGATGCAACCAATCACTTCTCAGCCTTTTGGCTAAAATCTAGTGTAAAATGATGCAGCCACTGTGGAAAATAGTATGGTGGCTTCTCAAAAAATTAAAAATAGAATTACTATGTGACTCAGCAATTCCACTTATGGGTATATTCCCAGAAGAATTGAATGCAGGTGCTTAAACATAGTGGCATTATTCACAATAGCCCAAAGGTGGAAATAACCCGTGTCAATGAAGAGATGAATGGATAAACAAAATATGGTCTGTACTATTATTTAGCCATATAAAGAAGGAAGTTCTCAAACATGCTACAAATATGGATGAATCTTGAAGACATGCTAAGTAAAAAAAGCAGACTCAAAAAAGACAAATATTATATAATTCCACTTATTTGAGGTATCTAAAATAGTCAGATTTATAGACAAAAAATAGAATAATGGTTACCAGGAACTCAAGGAAGAGGAAAATGATGATTTTTTGTTTAATGGGTACAAAGTTGCAGTTTGAAATAATGAAAAAGGCCCAAACCGGTTTGGCCCAGTGGATAGAGCATCAACCTACAGTCTGAAGGGTCCTGGGTTTGATTCCAGTCAAGGGCACATGCCCAAGTTGTGGGCTGCATCCCCAGTGGGGGGCATGCAGGAGGCAGCTAATCAATGATTCTCTCTCACCATTCATGTTTCTCTCTCTCTCCCTCTTCCTTCCTCTCTGAAATAAATAAAAATATATTTTTTTTAAAAAAGAAATAATGAAAAAGTTCTGGAGATGGATGGTGGTTGCACAATGTGTATGTTCTTAATGCAACTGAACTGTACACTTAAAATGGTTAAAATGGTAAATTCTATGTCACATGAATTTTATCACGATAAAATAACAAAACAAAATAAAGATATAAAAAATTACAAACCATTATTGACAAAAAAAACATAGCGTTGGGATTTAGGAAGTAAAAATGAGGTAGCAGACTAAATACATGATCACCTCCCTTTTTCTCTTAATATTCCTTAAAATAACAATAACAAATACATATATAATTTTCTAAGAAGTAAATTGAAAATACCTATAAAAAAATAATCAAAACACCAGAAATTGAGAAAAAATATCGGAAGGCGTGTAGCATTGTGCCCTAATATCCAAAATCCATCTAATATAAAGATTCTGAAGAAGAAAAGAGAAGATGAAGAGGAGAAAAGAATTACAAATGGATTATATTGAGATCTGGATAGAGATACAGCAGAAAACATATTCAAGCTGAAGAATATCTGGGTCTTCAGATTAAATAGAATACAAAGTGTTGAGCATAATAACTGGGGGTGGGAAAGTTCTACAAAAAAAAAATCCCTTCTCCCAGTGATTTGTGGGAAAGGGGCCAGTGGTTCCCTAGGGACTGAGTGAAGTTGTGACTTCCTAGCAAAGCAAGCAGGCTTATGCTTCTTAGTTTATTATGCTTAATAATGTCTGATTCCCTTTGCTCTCTTTCTTTGTTAATATCTAGCTACCTACCTTGCCCTGACCGGTTTTGCTCAGTGGATAGAGCGTCAGCCTGTGGACTCAAGGGTCCCAGGTTCGATTCCAGTCAAGGGCATGTATCTTGGTTGTGGGCACATCCTTGATAGGGGGCATGCAGGAGGCAGCTGATCGATGTTTCTCTCTCATCGATGTTTCTAACTCTCTATCCCTCCCCCTTCCTCTCTGTAAAAAAATCAATAAAGTATATATTTTTTTTTTTTTTTTTTTATTGCTTAAAGTATTACAAAGGGTATTACATATGTGTCCATTTTATCCCCCCGCCCTAGACAGTCCCCTAGCCTCCCCTATCCCCCAATGTCTTATGTCCACTGGTTATGCTTCTATGCATGCATACAAGTCCTTTAGTTGATCTCTTACCCCCCTACCTCCTGCCCCGCAACCCTCCCCGGCCTTCCTGCTGCAGTTTGACAATCTGTTCGAGGCAGCTCTGCCTCTGTATCTATTATTGTTCAAAAGTTTATAATGGTCTCTATTATCCATGAATGAGTGAGATCATGTGGTATTTTTCCTTCATTGACTGGCTTATTTCACTTAGCATAATGCTCTCCAGTTCCATCCATGACGTTGCAAATGGTAAGAGTTCCTTCCTTTTTAGAGCAGCATAGTATTCCATCGTGTAGATGTACCACAGTTTTCTAATCCATTCATCTACTGATGGGCACTTAGGCTGTTTCCAGATCTTAGCTATGGTGAATTGTGCTGCTATGAACATAGGGGTGCATATATCCTTTCTGATTGGTGTTTCTGGTTTCTTGGGATATATTCCTAGAAGTGGGATCACAGGGTCAAATGGGAGTTCCATTTTCAGTTTTTTAAGGAAACTCCATACTGTCTTCCATAGTGGCTGCACCAGTCTGCATTCCCACCAGCAGTGCACAAGTGTTCCTTTTTCTCCACATCCTCTCCAGCACTTGTCGTTTGTTGATTTGTTGATGATAGCCAGTCTGACAGGTGTGAGATGGTACCTCATTGTTGTTTTGATTTGCATCTCTCGGATGATTAGTGACTTTGAGCATGTTTTCATATGTCTCTTGGCTTTCTGAATGTCCTCTTTTGAAAGGTGTCTATTTAGGTCCTTTGCCCATTTTTTGATTGGATTGTTTATCTTCCTTTTGTTAAGTTGTATGAGTTCCCTATAAATTTTGGAGATTAGGCCCTTATCGGATATGACATTGGCAAATATGTTTTCCCACACAGTGGGTTTTCTCGTTGTTTTGTTGATGGTTTCTTTTGCTGTGCAGAAGCTTTTTATTTTGATGTAGTCCCATTTGTTCATTTTCTCTTTCGTTTCAAGTGCCCTAGGAGCTGTATCAGTGAAGAAATTGCTTCGGCATATGTCTGAGATTTTGTTGCCTTTGGATTCTTCTAGAATTTTTATAGTTTCCTGTCGTACATTTAAGTCCTTTATCCATTTTGAGTTTATTTTTGTGTATGGTGTAAGTTGGTGGTCTAGTTTCATTTTCTTGCATATATCTGTCCAATTTTCCCAGCACCATTTATTGAAGAGACTATCTTGGCTCCATTGTATGTTCTTGCCTCCTTTGTCAAATATTAATTGAGCATATTGGTTCGGGCCGATTTCTGGGCTCTCTATTCTATTCCATTGATCTATATGCCTATTCTTGTGCCAGTACCAGGCAGTTTTGAGAACAGTGGCTTTGTAATACATCTTGATATCTGGTATTGAGATCCCACCTACTTTGGTCTTTTTCAGGATTGCTGCAGCTATTCGAGGTCTTTTTTTATTCCAGATGAATTTTTGGAGAGTTCGTTCTAGATCTCTGAAGTATGCCGTTGGTATTTTAATGGGAAGTGCGTTGAATTTATAGATTGCTTTGGGTAGTATGGACATTTTAATGATGTTGATTCTACCAATCCATGAACACGGTATGTTCTTCCATCTGTTTATGTCTTCCTCTATATCTTTTTTCAACGTCCTGTAGTTTTCTGAGTAGAGGTCTTTTACCTCTTTAGTTAAGTTTATTCCTAGGTAGCTTAATTTTTTTGGTGCGATGGTAAACGGGATTGTTTTTATAATCTCTCTTTCTGAAAGTTCACTATTGGTGTATAGAAATGCCTCGGATTTCTTGGGGTTAATTTTGTATCCTGCTACATTGCCAAATTCATGTATTAAGTCCAGTAGCTTTTGGATGGAGTCTCTAGGGTTTTGTATGTATAATATCATGTCGTCTGCAAATAAGGACAGTTTTACTTCCTCTTTTCCAATTTGGATGCCTTTTATTTCTTCTTCTTGCCGAATTGCAATGGCTAACACTTCCAGTACTATGTTGAACAGGAGTGGTGAGAGGGGGCATCCCTGTCTTGTTCCTGTTCTTAGGGGAAATGGTGTTAGTTTTTGTCCATTGAGTATGATGTTGGCTGTGGGCCTGTCATATATGGCTTTTATTATGTTGAGGTATGATCCTTCTACTCCCACCTTGCTGAGAGCTTTTATCAAAAATGGGTGTTGAATTTTGTCAAATGCTTTTTCTGCATCAATTGATATGACCATGTGGTTTTTTTCTTTCAATTTGTTTATGTGATGTATCACGTTTATTGATTTGCGGATATTGTACCATCCTTGCATCCCTGGGATAAATCCTACTTGGTCATGGTGTATGATCTTTCTG